TACGTGAGTTGCTGTGGATTTGTTTCTCCAAAGTACCTAGACTAATACACTTCCAGTGAGCAATGTTGTGTCATCTGTACAGCCCAGGTTCTTAAAGAGCTTTCTCCAAATCTAATGACATGTTCTTCATGTGGTTCAGCTTCTCAGATTAATTTGCTCAGTATACAGATTGAATAAGTGTACTGAAAGGATACAACAACACCTTATATAAGCCATGCAGTATCCCTCTGTTCTGTTTGAAGGACTGCCTCTTGGTCTTATGTATAGAGTGTTTGGGAATACCCATTCTTCTCAATGTTGTTTGTAACTTGTTAGGATGCACACAGTCAAATGCTTTTGCCTAGTCAAGTAAAAACTCCCAGATAAACCTCTTGCTGGAAGCTATGCCACAAGTATTATAAATACCAGCGGGTTCACCCAAAGAGAACAGGTATCAGCAGAGCTTCCAGGCTAAGACCAGACTACAAAGAAAGACCTACCCTGCTCCAGGATGACCTCATCTTAACTGTAGTACATTTGCAGAGACCCTATCACCATATAAGATCACATTCACCGCTGTTGGGGTTATCTGTCTGGGGGGTACAATTCAACACACAGCAAATACCTACCTGCAACGTTACGATGACTATCCTCTCCGTATACTTATTCAATCCACATACTGAGCAAATAGAGAACGTGGTGTACTAGGATTGGAGGAAGGCTTATTAACAATCTGCGGTGTGCAGATGACAACACTGTGCTTGCTGACAGTGAGGAGGACTTAAAGTACTTATCGATGAACATCAAGGAATGTAGCCTTCTGTATGGACTACAACTCAATATAAAGACAACCAAAATCCTCACAACCAGACCGATAAGTAGCATCATGATCAATGGAGAAAATACTGAAATTCTCAGGACTGTCCTCTGGCTTGGATCCACAGTGTTCATGGAAGCAGCCGTCAAGAGGTCCCCGGAAGCATTGCACTGGGGAAAAGTGCTGCACAAGTCTCACCCTATTTCTTGAGCAAGAATGCCCTCCACCGTGGGATTATGGGCATATGCGTAGAGTCCAAACTTAGAATACATCACATGAGGAATGATGGTGAGAAGGGACATATTAATGGACTACATATCACGGCCCTTCTTTTCGTCTCAGAAGCTAGAGTCGCATCCGTACAAGCTTGGAAGTGGGATACTGGGGATGAAGTGAGGTGACAACATAACCCTTCCATTTCCTCCTCTCTCTCTGTGTGCAGGTCGGTGCTGGGGAAGACAGACGCAAGGAAGGGGGCAAGAAGAAGAATAAGGAGGGCGCCGGGGACGGGGGCCGAGCCGAGGTGAGTGCTGCAGGCCTCTCACCGAAGCCTGGCCGGTGGGGGGGAGCTGCCTCGGTTTGCCTTCTTTCTCTGTGCGGACTGTAATGCTTACAGTTGTAGGATGATACTAGGTAGAAAATTCAGGAAGACATTGCAAAAGGATAGCCAGGGAGGGGAATTAAAGATTCACCATGATTTGTTATTGAAAAAGGAAAACAGCTGGGCATGTGTGCACCTTCGATGGTTGATTGTGAAATAACAGAGCCAGGGAACAAAGGTTGGACCAATAATTATTGAGCTAGCTTTGTGGTGGCTCGTCAGGCGAGCTGCGGAGGGAGGGCTGGAGACCTGGCATCAACACCAAATGAGAGCGAAGCCAAAGTGGGCCCGGTTCCTTGTGTCCCTTCACACCGTTTGAATCTGGACCTGCCGGTCGGGGTTGGCTGTTAGCTGGGACAGGTCCCCTCCGGGCCTCAAGTCTCAGGAATGTTCTTTCCTCTCATTTATCCTGGCTTGTAAATGGAACTGGTATTTCCACAACCCACCCAGAATGCACCTGGTTCCTGGGTGTTGGCTCCAGGGGGTGGCTAGGCTTCTCTTCCTGCTTTCTCTTTGCAGGTGAACTGCCGTGCAGGGTGCTTCTTGTTCGTCACTTGAGTTACTGCAGCTGTTTTATTGGCGACGAGAGCGCTTCCCCAGACTGCCGGGGCATACAGGCACGGACATTTTAGAAGTCTGTATAAGAGTGCGATGAACCAGCTTTAAGGAGCAATGCTTATAAAAGATAGGATTGAAAGAAGGGCATTTTTTTTTGGAACATTTTATTAGGGGCTCATACAACTGTTATCCCAATCCATACACACATCAATTGTGTAAAGCGCACTTGTACATCATTCTCAAAACATTTTCTCTCCACTTAAACCCCCGACATTAGGTCCTCATTTTTCCCCCTCCCTCCCCGCTCCCCTCTCCCGCATGAGCCCTTGATAGTTTATAAATTGGTATTTTGTCATATCTTGCCCTGTCTGACGTCTCCCTTCACCCACTTTTCTGTTGTCCGTCCCCCAGGGAGGAGGTCACACACAGTTCCTTGTAATCGGTTCCCTCTTTCCTACCCACTCTCCCTTTACCCTCCCTGTTTCGCCACTCACACCACTGGTCCTGTAGGGCTCATCTGCCCTGGATTCCCTGTATTTTCAGTTCCTATCTGTACCAGTGTACATCTGAAAGAAGGGCATTTTTTAAAGTACTGCTTCACATACAATGGAAGCCCTGGTGGCATAGTGGTTATGCATTGGGCTGCAAACCACAAAGTCAGCAGTTCGAAACCACCAGCCACTCTGAGGGAGAATGATGGGGCTTTGTACTCCCACAAAGAGTGACAGCGAAACCCACAGGGGCCGTTCCCCCTGTCCTCTCAGGTCACAATAGTTGGTTGGTCATGTAAGATAAACATATGGTTTTCAGAGGTGTTTCAAACAAAGTGAACACGTTCAGGCTAACTCTGATATTTAGAGCAGTGCTGTTAACCCGTGAGAAGGACGTTGTGGACAATGCTGACCAACAAAAGTGAGGTAGCAGCTGAATGGACCATGTGCACCTATAATGGCTTTCGCTTTCCATCGTCTCCAGGGTTAGGGACCAGCTTGTCCTTGTCCTCCTGTCAGACTGTGTATGTTGTCAGTTGACATTATATTTGGAGTTTGTGGCATTATTAAAAGAGGAAGTTCTAAAGCATACATGGATTTCACCTGGTCTCTATTAGAGCTGATTGATTGAAATCCATCTGAAGGTCAAACAGTGACAGTACAATTAAGCCATGCTTGATTCATGTACAGCTGTTGTCCATGTTACCACCATTTGTTGTTTACACGCGGTATATTTGCTGGTGGTTTGACTACTTTGTGAACTCAACTTCAAGGTGAGCTTTGTACGAGCCTCTGGCAATGGACAAGTTAGATCTTTCGGTAAGTGCCTCCTAGTTTTCTTCATCAAATGACAGGGAACGGAGTGTTATATAACATGCTTTGATGGATTTTATCCACTGTGGACTATAGGGTATGTGTTTTATATGTGCTAATTAAACATTCTACTAAAGAAGCTTCTGAATTAGAAGGGGACCTACTCAGGCAGATAAATTGATGGTTGCTAGTTAAGAATCATGACTGGAGACGTGGGCTGATCAGCTGTGCAGGCCATTTCCTGAACATGATTGAGGCAAAATGGGAAAAGCCAGTAAGTTGTATTTATTTCCACTATGTCTCCATCACTTAGTGCTGCTGTAACAAATATACCTCAAAGGCTGGCTTTAAAGAACAGAAATGTCCTTCCTCACAGTTCAGGAGGCTAAGAGGTCATTTCTCACGGTGGTTTAGTGCTCTCTGAGCCTGTTGTTGTTGGGTGCCTTAAAATGACCCCGACTCATAGTGATCTGTGTCCAACAGTGCAAAACACGGCCCCGCCCCGCCCCATCCTCACACTCCTTCGATATTTGAGCCCACTGTTGGAAAGTGACATGTTTCTCTTAAAAATATTTACCCAGGTCTTTTGCCAAAACTTTGCCCAATGCAGTCTGCCTTTTTTTGCAGTCAAATGAAATTCTTGACAACTTCAATCTTTTCTCGATGTTGCTTATTGACCCAATTGTGCGGACTCTTGTTCCCTTTATGTTGAGAGAATGGCTGTGAAGAGAGCCACATCTTGGTGTGTTCTGTATGAACTGTGTCAACACATCTTGGTGTGTTCTGTGTGAACACATCTTGTGTGTTCTGTGTGAACTGTGTCAACACATCTTGGTGTGTTCTGTGAACTGTATGAACACATCTTGTGTGAACTGTGTGAACACATTTTGTGTGTTCTGTGTGAACTGTGAACATATCTTGTGTTATGTGTGAACTGTGTGAACACATCTTTGTGTAAACTGTGTGAACTGTGAACACATCTTTGTATGTTCTGTGTGAACTGTGTGAACACATCTTGTGTGTTCTGTGTGAACTGTGTGAACACATCTTGTGTTTTCTGTGTGAACACATCTTGGTGTGTTCTGTGAGAACTGTGTGAACACATCTTTGTCTGGCGTCTTGTAGGCAGCTGTTCAGGGAGTGCCTGGACTTGTGGAAACTCCATTGTGTGTGTGTCTTCATGTGGCATTTCCCCGTGTGTCTCCCCTGCTTGTTTTACTTTGCTGAAAAGCCTGTGTGTCTCTTCGTGATCCTAGAGCCATGGTCAACCTGCTCTAACGAAAACGCAAACACCCTGTTTCCAAACAGGATCCTGTGTGCAGGTACTGGAGTTAGGACTTCAATACATATTTTGGCTAAGAGATATAATATAATCTGTAGCACCCTTTAATTCTTGTCCTGAGCCATCGTGTTGGTCCTGACTCACAGTGACTTTATCGCTGCCTGATCTTGCGCCATCATCACGCGTGTTCTTCTGTTTGAGCCCGTCGTTGCAGCCCGGGGTCAGTCCATCTTGTTGAGCTTTCCTCTCTGTTTGCTGCCCCGCTACCTGACAATGCACGATGTCCTTCTCCAGGGATCTGTCTCCTGACGACATGTCCAAAGTATGTGAGACAAAGTTTAGCCATCCTTGCCGCTAAGGAGCATTCTGACTGTCCTTCTTCCAAGACAGATTTGTTTATTCTTTTGGCAGTCCATGGTACTTTCAATATTCTTCTCCAGCACCAGAATTCAAACGCGTCAATTCTTCAATCTTCCTTATTCCGTGTCCAACTTCCACATGCACATGAAGCGTTGAAAATACCATGGCTTATTTAGGTCAGGCACACTTTGACCGATTGACCCAGTGCAATGTGCCTTTTAATCTCCTGATTGCTTCTTTCATGAGCACTGATTGTGTATGCAAGCAAGATGCAATCCTTAGCATGTTCAATATTTTCTCCATTTGCCATGATGTTACCTATTAGTCCAGTTGTGGGGATTTGGGTCCTCTTTACATTGAATCATAATCCGTACTGCTGACTAATGCTTGATCTTCGTCAGCAAGCACCTGAAGCCCTCCTCACTTTCATCAAGCAAGGTTGCATCATCTGCATATCACACAGTTTTAATAAACCTTCCTCCAATTCTCATGCCACGTTCTCCATATAATCCAGCACCCTTTGATATCTATGCTTATAATATCAGTTGGTTTAAAAAAATCTTACAAAGGTCACATAAAAGCAACACTTGATATAAATAATAGTAATGGTTGTCTATTCAGGTGTTGTTTATTATATATATATTTTTTTCTATTTTTAAATTTTTCTTACAGATTATAAGAAAAGAGCATTTGTTGAATTGCTGTATTAAGCTTGCATTTAGGACTAGATTAAAGTGATGGTGGTGATTTTAGCAATCTATACCATGGGCTTTTTCTATTGTCTGTCCCAAACCTTCTCCCCACTTTAAAACAGGAAATATTTACTGATAATTTACTTTGCTTGTTGTCTTGCAGTTGAGTCCTTGGCCTGAGTACATTAACACTCGTCTTGAGATGTACAACCAGCTCAAAGCAGAGCATGAGTCCATCTTGGCGGAGAGAGCGGAAAAAGACAGCAAGCCAATTAAAGTCACTCTGCCGAACGGCAAGCAGGTTAATGCAGAGTCTTGGAAAACAACACCCTATCAGGTTGCTTGTGGAATTAGGTATCAGCTGCTCTTCTCTGATCTTGTGAAATTTAATTTGGGTGTATGTGCACGCACATGCGTGCATTGTTTGATGTCTTAATATGTGTCATGTACTTCGGGTTTTTAAGAATCAAATAATGTGAAGTGTTATAGTGTAGATTCAAAGTTAATTTCTCAGAGTTTACTTTACTCTTAGTTTTAAGGATTTTTTTCATTTACTTTGTGCCACAAAGCCAAGTGTTGGACTTGAAGCGTCTCTCAGTATTGAAGATACCAGGAAAACTGATCATCTCACACGGGAAAGTTAAGGAACTAAACTCGGAGCCCAGACACCCTGCACCGAATTTCTGAATCCACAGTGGAACCATACTTAATCTTAACAGTCTGCGGGGTTCAGTTTATTTGGGGGAGATGAGCATGGGATGCATACTTCGTAATAAAGGTTTTGCGCTTTCTCAAAGTGATACACTTGTAATCAGTAATTGGTCATTTATGTGAAAATGATCAATTTGGGGGTTCATAAATTGATTCATGTATCTTCAACCAAGTGTTGACAAATTACTGGCTGTTGTCAGTTTTTGTAAGGCCTATGAACAGGCTGGAAGGGTTTTCATGATAACTGAAAATAAATAAGTAAATGAAACAGAAAGATACTCAGTAGAGACCCTGTGTAACCCATAAAATCTGATATGTTTATTACGGAGTTTTTTACAGAGGAGCATGGTGAGGCATTGGGTCGCAATCTGCATGGTCAGCAGTTTGAAACCACCAGCAGCTCTGTGGGAGAAAGACAGCTTTCTATTCCCGTACCAGTTGTCAGCATTAACTAGATGGCAGCAAGAGTCTTTTACAGAAAGAGCTCTTGTTGTATAGTGGGTTACAAGGCCAGAAGTTCAAACCCACCAGATGCACTCTGGGAGAGTGATGATGTCCCTGTGTACATTGTCAGCCTCAGTAACCACTCAGCACTGTGAGGTCTCCATGAGTCAGAATGGACTCAGTGGTGGTGGGTTTGGGGTTTGGTTTAGTTCTTTACAGAAAAAGCTTGCTCATCTGTGTTAAAGCATGCTGACTTAAAACTGTAAACATAATTGTCTTCACCCATTGTTTGTAGCATAGGCAAGACTTTTTGGAGGCAGCAAATGCTACTTTGAGTTTCTGTATTATCTTGACGCAATTGCAGAGGCGCCTACATGCAGAGTTCTTCCACGTTTTTATGTTGCTCCGTCATCTCTTATTGTTGCATCCACACCTACTTTGACAGTTTGGTTATTGTTTTTACAACCTGCCTTCATTAAGCTTTCCCCAAATTCAACTTGATTTTCATAGAAATGATGGTTCCTTTGTTGTTCTTGTCTTTTATTAACCTCTTATACTTAATTTTGCATTGAGTTGAATCACTCAAAAAATCACTCTGCAAATTGTCCAAAGTTGTTGATTATCAATTTAGATTGTTTAACTTCTAAGCCCACAGCTGTCAAGACAATTCCAATTCCTGGTGTTCTAAAGGGCAGAGTAGGCGTACCAGGACAGCCTGCTGGTCAAGGGGAGGGGCAGCCACAAAGAGGAAGGCCGTCCGGGAGACGGTCGACACAGTGACTGCAGCAGTGGGCTCAGGCACACGGGGATGACTGCGAGGATGGTGCAAGCATAAGGGGAACAGACGTCCCGCTCTTGGGCGTTTTTAAAAAGTCCCGATTTTTGGAAAGAATGCACGACAAGCTAGGGAACGGTCTATTTGGTCCATATAGACCAAATTTGTGGTCAAGAACACTCCCCCTCCACCCAGTCAATGGTGTCCCACTTTAAATCTGGTCACCTTATGCAGGGAGTGTTTCGCTCTGTTGTGTCTGAGGTCGTAATGGGTAGGGACCGACTCATGGCACCTAACAACGGTGATCTTTATAGAAGCAGCCTGTCAGATCTTTGCCCTGCAGAGTGACTGGTGGGGGGAGGGAGGTCTTTCCAGTTAGCAGCCTAGCTCTTTAGCAGCTACATCAGCAGGGCTCCTGAACATAATGTACAAAATAACAAAATTTGCCTATGAACACGGGTGGTTCTCCTTACGCCCACTATTCCCTGGGTGGGAGTAGAATCGGGTCTGTGAGCTGTGGGTCTCCTGTGTGGATGCCGGGTAGTACTTTCACAAGGGAATAGAGCACTTCAGCTAATTTGATAAGGGCCTCTCTCTGCACGCCCAAGGGAAGGGGAGAGACCGCTGGAACGTCAAGCGAGTTGACGTGTGAGGTCACGCACTGGGCAGACCTTTAAGTAGCCGGTCAGCCTTTCTGGAGGTCATTGTGAAGGGCGGGCTGATGGGGACACCTGCGTTGTCACACGGCGAGCGAGAGTGGCTGTGTCGGCTCCCAGGCGTGGGCATGTTTCTCCATCCTCTCCATGGAGTGGTGCCCCAGCTTAGGTTGCTATTTCTCC